CTTGAGCACGGGGATTTCGGTTGTGTGAGCATGTGCTTTTGTACTTATATGACCTGTAGTGTCCCTATGAGTGAAATTTGCGGCTCGATGAGTGGTTGGATGGCTATATGATGAGTGTGATATGATGGCGGAATGTGTTCGAGTGGTTTGAATGTGACGAGATTGTCACGACCCAAACTGATGGGGCGTTACGAGTGCCCGAGTTCTACCTATCGAACACCACTATGCATACGTCTAAGATATAAACATGAAATAAGTGTAGGTCATGCATAACGTCTGGAAATAAACTACCGATTCATATGAACAATATACGTGGGAAAACATGACCAAAAGACACACACACACACACACACAGATATATATATATATATATATATATATATATATATATATATATATATATATATATATATATGGAATAAGATAGGGCGAGCCGACAAGGGCACATACCATCCAACTATACATGACTGTCTACAGACCTCTAACAGAATGTACAACTGCATAAATGACGGGACTAGGCTTCGTCATACCCATATGTATACAAGAGTATTGTACCAAAACTCAATAGCAGCTTAGGATCAAATAGAGCACACGAACTCTCGCTGAGCAAGGATCCTAAGATGGGGCACCGTCAACCTGTCTGCCTGCACATGCGGGCATGAAATGCAAGCCCCCAGGCAATAGAGGCGTCAGTACGAATAATGTACCGAGTATGTAAGGCACAAAAATTAGTATATGATAGACATGAAAGTAACATGGAGTAAATGACTCAACATGTAAGTTTGAATAGCTCTGTGAATCATGAAACAATTATAATGTCATGCATATGCGTATAAATATCATATCATGCATAGGTATATGCGTACATAACATCATCAAGCCTGTGAGGGGATCCCATCATATCATCTCAGCCTCTATGGCTGAAATCACAAACGTATACCTGCTGATCAGGTGGTGGTGCGTATATAACGTCATAACCTTTCCCCATACCACATATACATATACTATACGCGCATATAACACCATCTGGTCATGGGTCAACATAAATGTATAAATGGATGCAATGCATAATGAGGTAAGTCAATAAGATCTCTCAAAATGTCATGAGACCCATGAACAGACAATATGATAGTAGTACATATGGGGAATCTAGAACATAGGCAACCCTAGTACTTCTAATAATGGGATCATATATGAAGGTTGTGTGCTTGCTCGTTTCGTTGTATCATATGGATCATGCCAAAAGGAAAGAAGGGATAGCCTTAACATACCTCAAGTCATCAATGCAACTTTACAACAAGCTTATGATAACTAGCGCGCCAACCTTGTAATAAAGAAATACATGCACAACTTAGATGGCGCTAGTATATTATGTATCTCAAATGATAAATTGATTCTAAAATAAAACGGGCAGCATTTCCCCTAATTTTTCTTCTCCCTCAAGCCTACTATAGGCCAGATAGCGAGCGACTACTCAGCAATGAAAAATAATTGAAAGCGGCTGGGAATGAGCCATCATCCCAGGTCAGGCGACCCGAAAGGACCAGTAGCTGGGGAAGGGGATAGCACCGGTCTTGACTCTAATACTATTCTTCTTTGAGAAGATGCTGGCATTACCATTGCATTCCGGCTGACCCCTAACCTGCCTCCAATTACTGATAGTCAATTCGTTTTCCATTATCCTAATCCGGGATGGGAAGAATTGCAACATCGGCATATGCGCTAATTCACTTAGAGGATACATAGATTCGATTCACGGTGGATAGAGATTCTTTTCAGTGCTTTAATGTTTTGTTCAAAGAATAACCTATAAGAAAAATTGCAAATATCATTTGTACTAGTTTATTGTTGACTGGCTTACCTAGCGGTTTGGGTTAGGTGCCACCACCGCTAGTTGGATTTTTATTCGTAACAAGTTGGTATTAGAGCTCTAGGTTCATAGGTTCTACGAGTCATGAGCAAGTGTTTTGTTAAGTCTTGCGGATGGATATGATGACGTCCATGCCTATCTTCGAGAGGCTACAGGACATTTTGGATAAACTTCACATCTTTCTTTCCTTACCGTGCGACATTGATTCATCTTGAAGCGTAACTCTTTGAATTCCGTCCATGCAATCGTATGCGTATGTAAGCGCTCGGTATCGGCTATACATCGACGGCTTGTGATTCCACAGATAAGGTGTGAGATGTGATTTCTGTGTGCTGAGGATGGTCCAGTTTGGAGGACATGAGGCCGAGCTTTGACTATAGCTTGAGCACGGGGATTTCAGTTGTGTGAGCATGTGCTTTTGTACTTATATGTCTAGTAGTGTCCCTATGAGTGAAATTTGCGGCTCAATGAGTGATTGGATGGCTATATGATGAGTGTGATGTGATTGCGGAATGGGTTCGAGTGGTTTGGATGTGATGAGAATGTCACGATCCAAACCGATGGAGCATGACGAGTGCCTGAGTTCTACCTATCGAACACCCATATGCATACGTCTAAGATATAAACATGAAATAAGTGTAGGTCATGCATAACGTCTGGAAATAAACTACCGATTCATATGAACAATATATGTGGGAAAACATGACCGAAAGACATATATATATATATATATATATATATATATGAATACGGTAGGGTGAGTCGACAAGGCCACACACTATCCAACTATACATGACTGTCTACAGACCTCTAACAGAGTGTACAACTGTATAAAGGACGGGACTGGGCCCCGTCATACCCATATGTATACAAAAGTATTGTACCAAAACTCAATAGCAGCTCAGGAACAAATGGAGCACACCAACTCTTGCTGAGCAAGGATCCTAAGATGGGGGACCATCAGCCTATCTACCTACACCTGCGGGCATGAAACGCATGCCCCAGGCAATAGGGGCGTCAGTACAAATAATGTACCGAGTATGTAAGGCACAAAAATAGTATATAACAGAAATGAAAGAAACATGGAGTAAAGTACTCAACATGTAAGTCTGAATAGCTTTATGAATCATGAAACATTTATAATGTCATACATATGCGAATAAATATCATATCATGCATAGTATAAGGATACATAACATCATCAAGCCTCTAAGGGCATCCCATTGTATCATCTCAGCCTCTATGGGCGAAAGCATAAACATATACCAGCTGATTAGGTGGTGGTGCGTATATAACGCCATAACCTTTCCCCATACCACATATATATATACTATACGCGTATATAACGCCATCTAGTCATGGGTCAATATACATGTATAAATGGATGCAATGCATAATGAAGTAAGTCAATAAGATCTCTAGAAATGTCGTGAGACCCATGAACAGACAATATGATAGTAGGACATATGGGGAATCTAGAACATAGGAAAACCTAGTACTTCTATGAATGGGATCATATATGAAAGTTGTGTGCTTGCTCGTTTTGTTGTATCATATGGATCATACCAAAGGAAATAAGGTATAGCCTTAACATACATCAAGTCGTCAATGCAACTCAACAACAAGCTTATGATAACTAGCGCGCCAACCCTACAACAAATAAATACATGCACAACTTAGACGGCGCTAGTATATTACATATCTCAAACGATAACTCGATTCTAAAATAAAATGGGAAACATTTTACTGTTCCCTCAAGACTACAATAGGCGAGATACAAACACACTACAATCAGCAACTCAAAACCAACCTAATTACAATTCAGGAACTTCAGTACAACAAAAACCCCAAATATACCATAACACATCCAATCAACAAGTTATCAATTAGCCTGAAACTGCAACAACGAGCGACCAACATACTAGCCTATCACATATGGCATTTCTCCATGCCCTTTTATCCTTCCAAACTCCGTAAATCAGCAGCACAATAGGCCAACACGAGTGAACTACAAAATAGTCTACTAAAAGTGGGAAAAAATCGAACTCACGGCTTCTGATCACCGTCTTGTGAGTTCTAACTATTGGGAAACCAATTTATCCACCTTCCTTGATATTTAAACACTTAAATACAGAAATTAGAAGTTTCTTAACTATGAATTACCTTGCAAAACTAGAACTACAACTAAAAAAGAGAGGCGGTATAATGATACTTACGTCGTAGTGATCGTTCTGATATTATCGCTTCTCGATTTCGCACCCAAGATGTTACTATTCTTTGAAACCCTTTAGAGAGCTCAAGGATAGGTTTTTATTGTGTTCTCTGGTCGGGATATATGTAAAACTAAAGAGAGAGACGAGCTAAGACCTATATATCAACTTTTGAAAAGTCAAAGAGGTGCTAGCTTGGCACCCTCGCATTGGCCCATCTTCCGACGCTTATATCTTTTATCTGGATGTCCTATGAACGAACGATTAAGTGTGCTAGAAACTACATTCCATGATCTTCAATTTGGTATATAATATTTTCCAAAAAGACCTCATATAGAACATAAAATTTATTTCTCAAAAAGCTCTGTTACAAGGCAAATCTTTAGTCGATTTTTCCGCAACTTAAATCTGATTTTTCCCAAACTTTATATTTTCTATCCAAGTATCATATATAGTCATATTATGACTTTAAAATCATTTAATTCATTATTAGAATGTCTCATGTTAATTATACGTCACCTTGGGACGCACATGGTGTAACAATCTTCCCCCTTAGAAACATTCGTCCTCGAATGTTAAACTCCCAGAGATCTATAGAAATTTTGGTAGAGTCTCCTCTGTAACGGTACCACTACCAACCTGCCAGATAGAAAATCCAACAATACAAAGCCACACAGGGCCACAATCATCAATAACTCTAATGGCCTCACACGACCAATTACAATAACTAACATAAGAATCAAGTACCATATACGTACCTAAGGTTGTGATGTCTCAGTCCGATCCTCCTTCGGAAGCGGAAGCAAGTGAGGATACCTAGACTTCATGTCTTTTTCAGCTTCCCCAGTCATCTCCTCCACATTATTGTTCCTCCAAAGTACTTTAACCAAAGATACATCTTTTGTTCTCAATCTCCGAACCTATCTACCTAGTATAGCAATGGGAGCTTCCTCATATGATAACTGCTCTGTGATATGAACATCGTCAATTGGAATGACTCTAGAAGGATCTCCTATACACATACAGAGCATAGGCACATGAAAAACTAGATGTACTGACTCCAAGTTGGAAGGCAAGTCTAACTCATATGCTACCTGGCCTATTCTGCGTATGATCTTATAGGGTCCAATGTACCGAGGGCTAAGCTTTCCTTTCTTACCAAATCTCATAATGCCTTTCATCGGTGATACCGTTAGAAATACCCAGTCATCTACCTGAAACTCCAAGTCTCGTAGTCGATTATCTGTATAGGACTTCTGGCGACTCTCAGCTACTAATAACCTTTTCCATATAAGTTTAATCTTCTCAACTACCTGTTGTATCAACTCTGGTCCTACTAACTTAGTTTCCCCAACCTCGAACAATCCGATAGGTGACCTACACTTCCATCCGTAAAGAGCTTCGTATGGAGCCATCAGAATGTTGTAATGATAGCTATTATTATATGCGAACTCAATAAGTGGAAGAAGATCATGCCAAATACCCCTGAAGTCTATCACACAGGACCGTAGCATATCCTCTAGTGTCTGAATAGTACGCTCAGCCTGACCGTCTGTCTGGGGATGAAATGCTGAACTAAGACTTACTTGAGTCCCCAATCCTTTTTGGAAGGACTTCCAGAAATTAGCTTTCAACTAAGCACCTCTATCTGAGATAATAGGTATAGGAACACCATGAAGTCGTATTATCTCCTTAATGTACAGCCTTGCATAATCCTCTGCTGAATACGTAGTCTTGACAGGCAGAAAATGGGCTGATTTTATAAGTCTATCAACAATAACCCATATAGAATCAAACTTACGCTGTGTACGAGGTAAGCCTATGATGAAATCCATATTAATTACTTCCCATTTCCAAGTCGAAATCTCTATAGCCTGCAATAATCCACCGGGTTTCTGATGCTCAATCTTAACCTGCTGAAAATTAGGGCACTGAGCAACAAACTCTGCTATATGCTTCTTCATTTCGTCCCACCAGTATATTTCCCTGATATCATGATACATTTTCATCGCTCCTGGATGAACAGAATAACGAGAATAGTGAGTTTCTCCCATAACCTGCTGGCACAGCCATGCCACATTAGGAACACATAATCGACCTCGATATTTGAGGACCCCATCTCCTGTAATCTCAAATGGTGTCTTCTCCTTTTGAGGGATTGTATCTCTATAACGAGTTAGCACATGATCCTCATACTAGCATTCCTTTACATTAGTTACTAAAGATGATGTTGCCGTGCCTTGAATAGTAACTCCGGTATCACCTGAATCTAGTAATCGAAGTCCAAGATTAGCTAGCTGATGAATCTCATGGGCTATCTTACTCTTCTCTGGCTGTAAATGATAGGATACCCATAGATCTACAGCTGAGGGCATCGGCTACTACATTCTCCTTCCCTTGATGGTATAAGATATCAACATCATAGTCTTTTAGTAGCTCCAACCATCGCCTCTGACGTAAATTCAATTCCTTTTGCTTGAAGACATACTGAAGGCTCTTATGATCCGTATAGATATCAACATAAATACCATACAAATAGTGCCTCCACATCTTTAGTGCATGAATCACCACGGCTAACTCTAAATAGTGGGTCGGATAATTCTTCTCGTGCTTTCTTAGCTGTCTAGAAGCATAAACTACAATGTTACCATGTTGCTTTGGTACACAACCCAATCCAATGCCCGAAGCGTCACAATAGATAGCATAACCATCGGTCCCATCTGGGAGTGTCTGAATTGGTGCTGAAGTCAATTTGTCCTTCAATGCCTGGAAACTCCGCTCACAAGCATCAGTCCACTGAAACTTATTTGCCTTCTGAGTCAACTTTGTCAATGGTGCTGAAAGAGAAGAAAAGCCCTCTACAAATCTCCTGTAATAACCTGCCAAACCTAGGAAACTACGAACCTCCATCGGTGTCGTGGGTCTAAGCCAAGTCTTCACTACCTGAATCTTATGTGTATCAACACAGTTTCCCTCATCTGAAGTAATACGTCCAAAGAAAGCTATAAAATTCAACAGTTAGAGAATTTTGTGTACATCTTTCTTTCTTTTAGAACTCTGAGCATAATACGCAAATGATCTGCATGCTCAACCTCTAAACGAGAACAAACCAAACTATCATCTATAAATACAATTAGAAACAGATATAGAAAGGGTCTGAAATGGTTCATCAAGTCCATGAATACTGCTAGGGCATTGGTCAAACCGAACGACATAACACGAAACTCAAAGTGCCTGTATCTGCTCCTGAATGCTGTCTATCTTTCTCTCTAACCCTTACCTGATGGTACCCTGACCTCAAGTCTATCTTCGAGAAACACCTGGCACCCTGCAACTGATGAACTAAATCATCAATCCTCGGGAGAGGGTACATATTCTTGATTGTCGCCTTATTTAACTGTCTGTAATCAATACACATCCGCAAGGAACCATCTTTCTTTCTCACAAATAACACAGGTGCTCCCCACGGTGAAGTATTGGGTTTGATAAAGCCTTTTTCAATCAAATCCCTCAATTGTTCTTTCAACTCTCTCATCTCTACAGGTGCCATTCTATAAGGAAGAATAGATATCGGCCGAGTATTTGGTAATGTGTCAACATCAAAATCAATCTCCCACTCTGGAAGAAGGCCTAGAAGCTCATCGAGAAACTCATTAACCACCGGGATAGGTTGAAGTGTCGGTGACTCTTCTTTCACATCCTGTACCCGAACTAAGTGATAAATATAGCCCTTTCCGATCATCTTCCTTGCCTTGAGATAGGAAATAGACCTACCTCTCGGCGATGTAGTGTTACCTTTCCACTCTAGAACTGGCTCCCCTGGAAACTGAGATCGAACCATCTTTGATCTAAAATCAACGTTAGCATAACAGGAAGCCAACCAATCCATAACCATTATAACATCAAATTCTACCATATCTAGCTCAATCAGGTCTGCTATTGTAGAATGATTAAGAACTATTACTATGCAATCTCTATATACCCGTCTAGCTATCACTGGATCCCAACAAGTGTAGACACCTCTAAAGGTTCAATAAGTTTAGGTTCTATCCCAAACATACTAGCAACCAACGGAGTGACATACGATAAGGTGGAACCTAGATCAATCAATGCATATACATCATATGAGGAGATTGATAATATATCTGTAACAACATCAGGTGAGGACACCTGATCTTGTCGACCCGCTAATGCTTAAACGCGATTCTGAGGACCGCTCGAGCTAGATGCTCCACTTATGCCTCTACCACGACCGACTGGTGCCTATGAACCTTGCCCCGTGGGGCGTACTGATGATGATGAACCAGCTACAGATTCTGCTAGCTGAACTATACCTACACAACCTCTCGTCGGCGAATCTCTTATAACGTGGCCTGGATAACTACAAGTATAACAAACACCCAACCCCATGAGGCACTGCCCGGCATGCTGCTTACCACACTGAGCACATCGTGGCAAGGGTGGCTTCATCTAACTTGACTCACCCGTATACTGAGAACTAGAGGCCCTGGATAGGTGGAACGAACAAATCTCCTACCAGCAAATTGAGGGGGTGCACTACTCGATGGCTGGGCTGGATACCTCGGGTACTACTGTTTCTCACCACCTCGAAACTCAATAGAAGGACCTGAAGATCTTGCTCTCTTACTCTGGCCCCTATCATGCTCACGATCGGCCCTCTGCTTCTGCTTACGCTCCTCTACACCCTGAGCATATGCCTGAATATGAGAAATATCAATGCCTGGATGAAGTGAGACGGACATACAGTCATTAAGCAGGTACGACTTCAACCCTTTCACGAACCGGTGAACCCGATCTTCCATCTTAGCTACAATAGTGGGAGCATACCGACCCAAAGAATCAAACTGAAGACGGTACTCCCGAACACTCATATTACCCTACCGAAGGGTCAAGAACCTATCAACTCTAGCCCGTCTAAGTAATAGTGGCAGATAATGATGAAGAAAAGCCTATGTAAACTCCTGCCATACTACTGGAAGGGCATCCTCACCTCTGGACAACTCCCAAGACTCGTACCAATTAATTGCAACATCCCAAAGTCTGTAGGAAGCTAGCTCAACTGACTCAGTCGCAATGGCCTTCATTACCCTCAAAGTCATCTGTATCATATCGATAAATACCTGAGGGTCCTCATTTGGATCTGCTCCAATGAATATCGGTGGGTCCAAATTAATGAAATCACGAACCCTCGCACTGATGGCCCTATCTGCATAACCAATACCTACCTCCTGGCACCGAGCCTGTACGGCCACTAATCGAGTAAATAGCTGAACAACATCTCTCATCTCCTGATCTGGTACATCTGGTTGAGGAGCTGGGGGGTACTGGAGCGGGTGCTGGAGCTGGTGCCCCTCGGATCTCCTCTAGAGAGGGCAGAGTATGTGAAGTCTAAAATGGATTCTCACTATGCGAATTTCCCCGAGTCCTGGTAACTCGTGGTGCTCGAGTTGTAGTCTCATCAGCCACGGACTTGCCTTTCTGGGCGGCTGTAGCCTTCTTGGGCATTGTTGAAAACAAAACATATCGTTAGGAAAATGAATCCTCATATTGCATGATCTAAATAAGAAGGGACGATAACATCCTATATGTCCTGTAGCCTCATGTTTATAAGTGTGGTGTGCAACACAATCATAAACAAGACTCTACTAGATACGGTATGTACACAACCCTAGGATGGAACTGCTCTGAAACCACTTTTTTCACGACCCTAACCGATGGGGAGTGACGAGTGCCGAGTTCTACCCATCGAACACCCCTATGCATACGTCTAAGATATAAACATGAAATAAGTGTAGGTCACACATAATGTCTGGAAATAAACTACTGATTCATATGAACAATATACGTTAAAAAACATGACCAAAATACACACACACACACACACACACACACACACACACACACATATATATATATATATATATATATATATATATATATATATATATATAGTGTGTGTGTGTGTGTGTGTGTGTGTGTGTGTACGGAATACGATAGGGCGAGCTGACAAGGCACATATTATCCAACTATCATCTACAGATCTCTAAAAGCGTGTACAACTGTATTAGTATACAACAGACATAAAAGAAACAAGGAGTAAAGGACTCAACATGTAAGTTTGAATAGCTCTGAGAATCATGAAACATTTATAATGTCATGCATATGCGTATAAATATTATATCATGCATTGGTATATGCGTACATAACATCATCAAGCCTCTGAGGGCATCCCATCATATCATCTCAGCTTCTGTGGGCGAAATCATAAACGTATACCAACTGATCAGGTGGTGGTGCGTATATAACGCCATAACCTTTCCCCATACAACATATACATATACTATACACGTATATAATGCCATCTGGTCATGGGTCAATACACATGTATAAATGG